CTAAAGATTGAGTGGTCAATGGGGATATATAGGTTAATATGGGAACGACTATCAAAGTGGTTGTGCTGTCGCTGTTCATCTCGTCCCTGTTGTTTTCTGTGGTATCTTCGGCATCCAATGATGGGCTGGTTAGAATCGGGCTGAAAAAGATGAAACTGGATCCAAATAACCGGCTTGCTGCCCGGCTAGACTCCAAGGGCGGAGAGGCTCTCAGAGCATCCATTCAAAAGTATCATTTCCGTAATAATCTTGGAGACTCTGAGGACACTGATATCGTTGCGCTAAAGAATTACATGGATGCTCAGTACTATGGTGAGATTGGTATTGGAACTCCACCACAAAAGTTCACTGTGATATTTGACACAGGAAGCTCAAATCTGTGGGTACCATCAACCAAGTGCTATTTCTCGGTGAGCCTTTTCATTATGCTTACTATGAATGTATAGGAAATGAAACTCCTTGCCTTGATAATTTGGAAAGCAAAATTGATTCAAGATACAGGATTTATGTTTTTACATTGTGTTGTAGGTTGCATGTTATTTCCATGAAAAGTACAAGGCAAGCGATTCAAGTACCTATAAGAAGGATGGTTTGTCTTCTACTCTTTTTATTCAACTCATAATTGTTTCAGGAACTTTTCTTCCCGATATTAAGGAGATAAGAACAATTTAAGACCCTGATTTTATACATTTTAATAGTGATATGTGAAATTTTAATTATCTAAAAAATCATGTCTATCTCTGATATTCTTGAATTAGATCCTGATAGGTTAATTGCCTGTTCAATGTACGGTTATTTCTGTGGTTGGTTGTTGTCGGGGTAGGATGGACTTAAGTAGGAAGATGTTTCCTTAAACACATAACATTATTCATTCTTTTCTGGCCTATCATTTACAAAATTATAAGACATGAACTTCTTTATTAAACTGTTTTCTTTGTGGCTCTCTTGGTGTGTTGCATTATGGTGTCAATTTGTCCCGTGGGTGCTAAAATAATCTAGAAGTTGTATTATCATATTTGATGTAGGGGAACCTGCTTCTATTCAGTATGGCACTGGAGCTATTTCTGGTTTCTTTAGTTATGACCATGTTCAAGTTGGTGACTTGGTTGTGAAAGATCAGGTATGCGGAGCCAATCTTCTTCTCAGTCATATCTATGGTCTAGTAGTTTGAAACTTTGAATTAGTTAACTGATTAACCTATTCTCGTTATCAGGAATTTATTGAGGCTACTAAGGAGCCAGGTCTTACATTTATGGTGGCCAAATTTGATGGGATATTAGGACTTGGGTTCAAGGAGATTTCAGTTGGGAAAGCTGTGCCAGTGTGGTACGTGTGCACACGTTTATTTTTATTGTCTATTTAAGATGTTTCTTGATGTTATGAGCTTCTCATGAACCACTTGTTTGTCTTATAGGTACAACATGATTAAACAAGGTCTTATCAAGGAACCAGTATTTTCATTTTGGCTTAACCGCAATTTAGATGAAGAAGCGGGTGGTGAAATTGTTTTTGGTGGGGTTGATCCAAACCACTACAAGGGCAAGCACACATATGTTCCTGTAACACACAAAGGCTACTGGCAGGTTGACCTTTAACGCTTAAATTATTCTGTGTCAGATAAATGCTTTATAAATATTATTCTTTATCTTTCACATTTTTCTTAATTATCTTCTCTTTTTGATAGTTTGACATGGGTGATGTTCTTATTGCTGACAAACCAACTGGTATGTTCCTTCCAATGCCTAGAGTCCTTTAAAAGTGGGATTAAATTAAGACTTTAGCTTTTTAATTACTTTATTTCAAGCAAAAACGTGTTTTGGCCATAGTTTTTTGCAGTTCTGACCTGTGCATATGCTATTCAGGATATTGTGCTGGCAGCTGTGCAGCAATTGCAGATTCTGGAACTTCTTTGCTGACAGGTCCATCGGTAAGCCATTATGCTTCATTATTTGGTCTTTGGATCAGTCTGTTGTTTAACAGTTGTAGCCTGTTGATTTGTAATCATTTCAACTGGGCTTTAGGTGTCGGCAAAATCTGAACATTATTCTAGCTATGTGATAATGGTGTCATGAGATATACGTTAAGACATGCTTTACTATTGTTCTTAGAGAGTTGAGAATTATTTCTTGGAGAAAGCTTTCTTATTACTGATTAAATCCGTGCTGGTTTGTGTTACTTATTAACCTGGTTATTAATGTGATTCCAAGTTGCTTGTTTGTCTTGTTGCAGACTGTGATTACCATGATTAACCATGCAATTGGAGCCTCTGGAGTGGTTAGCCAGGAGTGCAAGGAAGTGGTTCAACAATATGGGCAAACCATTATTGATTTACTTATAGCTGAGGTGAATGCTAGTTATACTCTAATTGTAAATTTTTGTGTAAGGTTGTGCTTGATTTGTATTCTTTTTTCATAATATTCATCTGTGTAATTGATTGTCAGTTTCTATATTTACTTTGGTCCACCTAGTGACTGGTTTTTTCCCTATGGGTTTTCTACAGGCACAACCTCAGAAGATCTGCTCCCAAATTGGATTGTGCACTTTCAATGGTGCTCATGGTGTTAGGTCAGGCTCTGAGGTCTTTCTGTGTGTGATTTCACTCAATTACTGTTTTGCTATTTTACCACTTTATCTGAAGGTAAAATAATTCTGCATTTAAGCATTGAAGTAATGTTGATCAAATGTGTTTGTATAGCTCGGGCATTGAGAGTGTGGTGGATGAGAGCAATGGCAAATCATCTGGAGTTCTTCGTGATGCTATGTGCCCTGCTTGTGAGATGGCAGTTGTGTGGATGCAGAACCAACTAAGGCAGAATCAGACTCAAGACCGCATATTGAGCTACGTAAATGAGGTGACATGAGTTAGACTTGATGCTTCTTGAATACCTTGTGAGAATGTTCCTTCCAATGCTGATTCGTCCATTTGATACTCTTGCAGCTTTGTGATCGGGTGCCAAGCCCAATGGGAGAATCTGCTGTTGACTGCGGAAGTCTTTCGTCCATGCCTACTATTTCCTTCACTGTTGGTGGCAAAGTTTTTGACCTCACTCCAGAAGAGGTACAGCCATCGTTATTTTCTGTTAATAGTCTGTTAACATTTGTATCTTCAGGTTGCTTTCATGCAAGTTTACAATATGACAGATTTGGATTGGATTATTATCTTCTTTAGTTTGCATTGCCCGGTTGCATATCAGACTATATATTTATATTTATATGTTCATGAAATTTTCCTTTGTCAAAAGTTTTAAGTATATATGCATGATTCTGCCAACGTGTTGTGCTGATATTAATTTTCCCTGGTGGTGTAACCAGTATATTCTCAAGGTGGGTGAAGGTCCTCAAGCAGAGTGCATCAGTGGCTTTACTGCTATGGATATTCCTCCTCCTCGCGGACCTCTCTGGTATGTTAGCTACCTTGCATTTTCATCTTATTCTTAACCAGTCCCTTAAACTGTCTCGTCATATTTTCGGGTTCCTTCCTAACATATTGTCTGATGCAGGATTCTGGGAGATATCTTCATGGGTCGCTACCACACTGTCTTTGATTTCGGTAAACTGAGAGTTGGCTTCGCCGAGGCGGCATAAAAGGTCTACCAGGGGGACCCGAGTTTTTAGTTGTCCATCCACTATCGTGTTATCTATAACTTTATAAAGATGGTGGAATCAGCCTAAAATCGTGCAGTGTGTTTGTAAATATATTTCCTTCCTTTGCTCTGTTTTAGAAAATAGGATTTGCATTTTAGGTCAAAGTTGTCAAAAACCAAGTGAGAAACATTGTGCTTTGCTTTTTATCAATGGTCACAGATATTTAATCAGCTTTTTATAATCGAGATACTTGTCGTGTATTGTGAAATGGATCCAAGCACTGCTGCTGGTAATCACTACCTAAAAGCCAAATTGGATAAGTTTAGTCTGTCAGATTTAGCTAGCAATTTGGTACACCACTAAGCCTTAACGAGCAAGTATGTGGAACTGAACTCATTATCATTGGCACAATCGATTAAGCAAGGCAGTAAGGCATGGAATGGAGACAAAGAAAAGAAAAGGAAAGGTAATAGAACAGACAGACTGGGCCCAAAAACCTTTTCTTGCCGAAAGCTGAAGCATTGGCAATTACCATGGTAAACCAAGTTATCCAAAAGGAATTGGAGGCTGCCACCACATGAAGGAAAGCAACATTCTGATTGGGTGTTTTACTTAAAAAGAACGCCATTTTAGGTGCCAAAAAGGAGCCCCCCTCCCACCGCAAATGCGTCAAAGGAGTCTAACCGTGAGTCCTCAAAACCTATTTTAATAATAAAGAACATGGAACCAACCCAACCAACCAACTAGCCAACCAAATGAGATGAGATGGGACTGTGGAGGAGGGACAAGGAACGTTTGGTTTGAGAAAATGAGTTGGGCAGGTCGGTTGGGTTTTTATTAGGTTTGCTTGCTGCTTGCCTTTCCTCCTTTCAACTAAATTCCAACTGCCCCCAACCATTTGGCTTTTTGCCCTTTTGGTTCCTTATAAACTTCACCCACAATCCAAGAAAAAAAAAAGGGTAACTAACCATATCTAATAATTTAGGTAACTATGTTCTCTTTATGTGGGTGGAACGAATTAGTTAACTGTCTTCAGATTGTTGGGTGTTCGGTTGCACTTCATCTTGTTTCTGCCAACTAATAATTGCATGAACATGAAACTTGTTTTTCAAACATTTAAAACATGCTTTGGTTCACACGTGGCATGCCAACGAGGAAAAACTTGCAACCTTATATCTCTTAAGTTATTAGAATAAGGTTTACGTGAAATCAGATTCATTAGTAACCACAGGTCAGTCATATGAAGTTGAATTTCCAGAGTAATACTGTTCTGTTTTATGTAAGATAAGGAAGAGTTTACTTTCTCCGAGTCCACATGCCTATGATTATCAAGAATATAAAACAGCAGCTCTACCTAGTCAAGCACTATGGATTAGATTTAAACAAGGGTTAAAGTCATTAATTACTGTTAAATTACAAATTAAAGCTAGGAATATACGAAGGCCTAAGATGCTGAGGGCATTGCAACTGCATTCCAAGCGCAATTTACAAGGACCTCATTGCGCCAGCTGAGCAGCCGCACTTTGCGCCACGCCTGGCTCACGTGAGCACGTGACGGTATGATTCATGGCTAAGCTAAGCAAAGCAGACACGCCCCGCCGACCAGTCGGCCAAAGCTTTTAAATCAACGTCCTTTCGCCACGTGGAACTCTCACGTTTCGAGATAGAAAGAAACAGCGGCCGCCCATTGGCCACAATGCAAAGGGAATGCCGTTAATGAAAGGCATTTGCTTTCTTGCATTAAAGCCAAACCTTACCAAACTAAAGCCACGAGACTTTGGCTGTATAAATGCTGCGTCAGTTGGCTTCACCTGACCAATTCCAAAGCTCCAAACATTACTTTCAGAAATGGAATGGACCCGTGGAAGAACCATTGGCCGAGGCTCCACTGCCACCGTCTCCATCGCCACTGCTGATCAGTCTGGTGATGTGTTGGCTGTTAAGTCCTGTGAGCTCTCGCAGTCAGAATCTCTTAGGAGGGAACAGAGAATTCTGTCTTCTTTAAGTTGCCCACGAGTTGTGGCGTACAAGGGGTGTGACATTTCATCCGAAAATGGTATGCTTGTGTACAATCTGTTGTTGGAATATGCACCAGGAGGCACCATCACCGATGCAATTCAGAAGCAGGGCGGTCGCCTGGATGAGGCCACGGTTCGATCGTACACTCGTGGGATTTTACAGGGGCTCGAGTTTCTTCACTCTAGTGGAATAGTGCATTGCGACATCAAGGGTCGGAATGTTTTGGTCACTGACGATGGGGTGAAAATCGCTGACTTGGGTTGCTCCAGGCGAGCTGATGTGGTCCCGGGTGCCGCTTGGTCGGTTGCAGGTACGCCTGTTTACATGGCGCCGGAGGTGGCGCGCGGGGAACAACAAGGATTCCCTGCTGACTTGTGGGCACTCGGATGTACGGTCATCGAGATGGCAACCGGACTGGCACCGTGGCCTGATGTCGGCGATCCACTATCTGCCCTCTACAGGATCGGATTTTCACGGGATGTGCCAGAAATACCGAGCGATATATCGAAGCAGGCAAAGGATTTTCTAAGTAAGTGCTTGAGGAGAGACCCTATCGAGAGATGGACAGCAACCCAACTCCTTGCACATGATTTTGTAAAGGAAACAAAAGTTCCTCCAATAAAGGGAACCAACGGTTCTGAATTGAACACCCCCACCACCGTACTAAATCTACAGTTGTGGGATTCGATGGAAGAGTTAGAGACAATTCAGATTCCTTCCAGGAAAAACGGTTTGAGCAAGATTCTAATGGAAAGGATCCAGCAATTGGGTGAAACCAATCTTGTTTCATCTTCAAAATTGCCCGATTGGGAATGGGATGAAAATTGGGTAACGGTGAGAAGCAACAGCAGCGGTTTGGAAATAGAAACGTTGTCTGGCAGACAAGATAAAGATGACAAGCTCTTACATGCCGATGAACCTGCAAGTAGCTGCGGGGGAGACATGGCAAAGGTGAGCAAGGATTATGACTTGCTGGTCCACCATTATCCCACAAAGATTAGTAGGAAAAACACTAGCGGAAATGAAATATGTCGTTCCAGGACATATTGTAATAAGTATTCAGCTTATCTCTTATGTAGAAAATTGAATTCCTTGAATAAAACATCCTCTGTTTTCTGTAATTTTGACTGCTGGCAGCTTTTTATTTTTAAAATGAACTTCGGTGCTGACAAGTATAGCTTTGAATGGTGTATATTATACTTTGAGATAGACCTTGATGGGTCCAAATTAGACAACCAATGCCATTGTATTGGCTTTGTGGTTTTGTGCTTAACATAGCACAAAGGGATAATAAAAAACAAAATCCGTTTGGAACAAAAAATTTTCATATGATTTTACTTAACAAATTTTCATATGATTTTAGTTAACTTTTTTTTAATTGAAAAAAGAGATTCGAATCATACTCTTTTAAGTAAGAAATTATATATTAACCAATGAGCCAAGTGTTCTGACATTGATTTTAGTTAACTTATCAACAAAGAATTATAAATCTTATGTTAATACTAGAACTACCATCATAATTCATCATGATTTTCCAAATTTTATATATTTTACTCTCAATATTAACTATAATCTAGTTGACAACATAAGCTTCAATTTTAGCTTCAAATCTCACTCTTTTTCAAATTATCGATTTTCATATCCTCAATTTTTAAATTTATTTTTAGTTATTTTTAATTGATTAATACAATCTCGTTCACATCATTTTTGAACTGATTTTCTTTCTTTTTTTTTTCTTTTGTATTTTCCTGTTGGTTTTGAGCTGAATTTTCAAGTTTCAATGGTTGTTATTTTTTTTATATTTTTTGGAAATGATTTTTGGATTTTCGGGTTAAGGTTCTTTTTAAGTTGATTTTCTAGTGTTTTGATGAGTTTCAATGGTTGGAAATAGATGAATGTTGATATTTTTATGTGTCATGGTGAAAATATTTTTTGAAAATGGGTTATTATAGAAAATATTTCTTATAAGTGATCAAAATAACAAAAAAATATTTTTCTCAATTTATTAAATAAAAAATATTATATTTTTTCGTAAAATGTTATTCATAAAAAAAATTCAAACAAATTAATTTCTGATTATCAAATGATCTTTTAATTTTAGTTTATCATTTATTAACTTAACAAATTAATCAGTATAACAATATGATGAGAAATAAATAAACATTACTTATATATAATAGTTTAATATTAAAAAATATTTTGAATTTATTGCATAATTGATGAATGTTAATATTTTTATGGTGTTATTAAAGAAAACTATTGAAGATATGGCATGATGGAAAATTTTTTTTACAATAAGATCTAAACAACAGAAAATATTTTTGACAGTTTATTCAAATAAAAAAAAGTATTAGATTTTTTATTAAAATATTTTATACAGAAATTATTTTCTTTTATAAAGTTATTTTATGGTTACCAAACGAACCCTTAATTTAATTTATAATGTTCATATAGTTTAATCTTAAGTGTACCTCTTTCTAATCAAAACTTGAATTGCGAATATTCTTTTGCTTTTCAATAAAATAATTCAAAATATATTAAAATCATTGTAATCATATTTTGTTAATTTACAATGTACACATGGTTTAATCTCTCATTCAACTCATGAAATGAATGAATATATTTTATCTAGTTCTAAGTCTATTTAAATTATCTTTGTCAAGTATCATCTAAACACTCAATCTCATCTTTCTAGTGATCAATCAACAAAAGAGGAAATATGTATAGAATTGAATAAACATCGATAAATCTATAAAGAGTATTTATCAACCAACCCAAATATCCAATTTACATATTAGCATCTTCCATAATCTTAGATAGAGAAATTTCAATAATTCTAGAAAAATATTCATTTGAAGATCAGATAGATTGCAGCATTGAGTGCATGCTGGTGTTAAAGCAAACTCTGCCACTAAAGATAGCTGGCCGTTGTTGAAGTGGGGAGGATGTCACGGTCCTCGCATAGACGTGAATCCCACATCGTCAAGATAATACTCTCAATAGGTAAAACCAATCGCACATTGATGGGAAACTTCCATCTATCACTGTCCACGTCAACTCGTATGACGTATTGTATGCTTTGAATCGCTAGTCTCACGGTTTTGTCTACAAAAAGCTCATAAGTTGAAGGTGGTGTGAACCCTTACATGCTCAATATCACTCTAGTACATAGTCAATGTGGGATTTATGGCTCCTCTCTCTAGGACTATGACATCTTCCTTTACTCCTCACTTAGAGTTTCTCTTTACTGTTGGACTAGCTCTAGTGAGCATTATCTCGACAAGGTGGAATTTACGTCCACGCGAAGACTATAACACTATACAACATCATGGCTTTCGTCGAATGTTGCTAGAACCAACTTGAAAGTTCCTACAGCATTGGGAGCCTGACTTTGAAACATTGTATCTGTTGTCTCATGCCTTGCTTTTCCTAGCGTCAGTGTTCTCTTTTACTACAATTCAATCATAATTACTTTTGCCACCGTTTAATTAAAAATAGTTGAATTGATCAACACTAAAGTTGTAGCCTTTTAACTTAGCTATCTAGTGATCTAAAAATCACAATAATCGAGCATTTGTAACTCAAGTTATTCTTAAAAGACCGTAACATGATCAGCACACCTTTGCACTAAAACATCCTCTCACGATTCTTTTCAATTTCAACCTTTCTTCATTCATAAAACTTCAAAACAAGAAGCGAAATCAATAACAACTAAAATTAAACATTTTAACACATAATTGGATTAAAATAACTAAAATTTAATTAACTTGGCATGCTTTTATTTAATTAAAAAAAGTAACTAAAATAACCAAAATTACATCTAAAACTCGAAAACTTTACCATTTTGAGGCCTAAAATATAATAAGATAATTCTATAATATAGTTATGAGGTGCATGAAAAAAAACTACTACTGTACGAAAAAAAAACTGATGTTGCACGAAAAAAACACGAGTGTTGCACGAAATATGAGCAATCAAATTTAAAATATTTTCACAACCATAATCATGATGGTTGCTTTATTTTTTTCTAATACTCAATTAGTTAGAAAAAGAGAGACTTAGGCGGAGGACAAATGAGAAATACGTTAAGATTTTTAAAAAGGGTTTTAGATAAGAATTAGTTTTCTTGCTATTTTTTCCATTTTTGGCTAAGCTTATTGGATTGTGCCCAATCCGTTTGAAAGCCCTCCTTTTCCTAGAACGTTCTGTGGGTGCTTTTTTCTTTTTTATTGTATTATCGAAACGTACCACTTGGGTGCTCTCATCTTTGTTTTCTTATTGCCAAAATGAAGTCATATAGATCCTCAAAACCCTGAATATAAAATCTAATTTTCTTCCCCACTTTTCCATCCTTTTTTCCTCTTTAGCCACAAACCTCCCTTTCTCTTACCATAGTATAAAATATATTCTATTTAACTAGCACCTTTCTCTCACCATGACATGAAAGAAAATATTTCATTTTATTGTTTTCTTTCTCAGATAAGTTTAAAGATACATTTTAAAAAAACGAAAATAGTCGCTCCTAATCGAGTATTTATGCTCTAAAATACCGATTATTCTTGTGAGGAAAAAACCATGGAAACAAAAAAATCTACTACTGTTGGCATCATTGCGGACATCATTATAATGAATGTTAATTTTGTTACGGTGCAGTATGAAATTTTAAATTTATTAAAATTTATAATGTTATATCAATATGTTTAAAGAATTGTTGCTAACATTGAAAAAGAGATGAACATGTGATGCTTTGTGGCATTTCATGAATTTTAAAATAAAATCTAAATAATAAGTTGGTGATTCTTAAACTTTTGTCATTTGAGAATGGTGGTGTATGAAAAAAAACTACCGCACGAAAAAAAATGCTGCATGAAATTTGAGCAATCAAATTTAAACTATTTTCACAATCATAATCATGAAGGTTACTTTGTTTTTTTCTAACACTCATTTGGGGAGATAAAGAGAGATTTGGCAAACAAAAATAAGAAATAGGTTAACGCTTTTGAAAAGATATTTAAATAAGACTTAGCTTTTTTCCTCTATTCCTAATTTTCGGCTAGGCTCAATGGGCTGCATCTAATCTGTTTGAAAACCCTCCTTTTCTTGCTGGAACACATCGTTTTTGAGCTCTCTTGCTTCTTTTATTGCCAAAACAGTGTCATATAGATTTTTAAAACCGTATAAAAATCTATCCCTCTACTCCATCTCTTTTTCTTCTTTAGTTGCAAACCTCCTTTTCTCCCACCATCTCCTTTTCCTTATCTGTCACAAAGTACCTTTTCTCCCACCATAGCATGGAAATATATTCTGTTTGACTATTCCTTTTATCGCTCTCTTCCTTATATAGGTTTAAACATAAATTGTGGTCGCTCTTGACCGAACATAAATTTAGGAGAATAAATTCCAATTTGTTGCTGATTATTAGGGAATGCTGGTGCATGAAAAAAATATTGTTATTGTACAGAAAAAACTAATGTCGCAGAAATAAAATCCTACATGAAATATAAGCAATCAAATTTAAAATATTTTCGCAATCATAATCATGATAGTTGTTTTGTTTTTAACAATTATTTGGTAAGAAAAAGAGAGATTTGAATGAGAATAATAGAAAATAAGTTAAAGGTTTCTAAAAAGAATTTAAATAGGACTTAGTTTTCTTCCTCTTCTCTTTATTTCCTTTTTCTCTTCAACCCTACCTCACATACGGCTACCTTGAAAGCCCAACTTTTTATGGCACATTTCTTCATTATTGAAGCTGTCGTCAAACCACAAACTCCTCATTATCCTCCTCATTTATTCTCCCTTCTTCTGCCTAAACTCCTTTTCTCCCACCAATGGCACAAAAATATGTGCCCTTTAATTATTCTACTTTCTGTTTTATTCTCACTTAGTTTAACTATACATTTGAAAAAAAAACAGAAGTTGGTACTCTTGATCAAGGATTTTTGCTCCTAAAACTCATGGATTATTTTTGTGTTGAAAAAATTATGGAAACCAAAAAGTCTGTTGTTGCTTATTTGAGATAGTTGCTTTATTTAAAACAATCAAAAACATTTTTACTCATTTGGAAACAAAGAATTTAAATTATTTTTAGAACCATAATCATGATGGTTGCTTTATTATTTTTTTTTAACACTCATTTGTTGAGAGAAAGGGATGTTTGGGTGGAGGAAAAATAAGAAATAGGTTAGGATTTTGGAAAGGGGTTTAAATAAGGGAGAGAAAGAAGAAAGCTTGGTGGTGCATCAAACTTTACTGAGATTTCACCAAATTGCCTCCTATATACTAGTCCTATGTAGTCTATTATTTATTTACACCTTTATAAACAGTACAATGCTTTATTTATAATAAAACATTTGGTGATTTCTGTTATTTGTGTAAATTAGATTTTTCCCATTGCTGAAATATTAGAAACTTATATTGATTAGTCTTATTCACTGTCCTAGAGAAAAATAATTCATTAATCCATGATAAATTTGAGGTTAAGGCTTAGTTGAATAAGTTGAATTAGTTTTTTCAATTTTTAAAAGGGAGGAATCAATATATTGATTTATAATCTTCACGACTTAAGTCTCTTTTCAAAGTTAATTTCTTAGGACAAGTCAATTACCGTTCCAAATTATTAAAGATGCAAATGGAATGAACAAAAATGATAAAGTTGATAGTAATAAGTATCTATGTGATCACCCAATCCCCAGCTTTTAAATAGCTCCCCGTTTACATCATCTGCTGCTATTTGTTTCAAGTCATTCCCTTATATCTAACAGATTTCACATTCAAAGCAGAATACCCTTGGGAGACTTGCCAGCTTTGCCAAGAACTCTACAATTCTTGTCTTTCCAGCTGAAGTAGATATAAGCACTCCACACAAATCTTAAGACGAATGATAATGGAACCTTGCCTTCAACCTCTATTTTGCTTGTCGTCCATTGAATCTGAATTATAACCCTCAATTGTAAAATTACATTCTTTTCCCCAAAAGTTTTGTGGACCAGTGTCGCTGGGCAAGAGGATTTCTTCTATGTTTTAGCAGAAATGGTTGTAGTATGTCCTTGCTAGAGCATGACACTCTGTCCTTTGCCATCAATAGGTCTTACTTTCAATTTATGTATATCAGTTCACTATTTTATCTGCTTAGGACTTCACATTTGCTTCCAAACTTCGGCAAATATGGCCTTGAGTTGATTTGTCTTTTAACTTTCGTAAAACTCGTTCAACTGTATAACTTTTGCACCCCAAAAGATTATATTATGCTGCTTCAAAATTTCATGCTATTATCTTCATACAACCAAGGACTATGCATGTGGCACTGCCGCAAGAGTTAAATTGGATTACACTTTTTCTTGAACAAGTATGCAGCTGCCCTTCAGGAACTCTGGACAGACTGGAGCAAGTTTACCAAAGACTATTCCCTGAACCATTCAACATTAGTCTCAGTTTTCCTACTTATAAATGCCTAGCATTCCTGCAAAGAAAATCGACCTTGAATTGCTAGTTTGGCTTGGTGAGAACCAGGTCGATCTTCTTCTACCTATAACAAGGAAAGAGAAAAGTGTTGGGGGAGATGCAACCCACTGATATGCTAATGATACTATCTTCTCAAGACAGCAGGTGAGAGCCCGTTGGTCCTGAATACTGACTTCTTTCTATATGCATGCTAATTGTTCATGGAAGTATGTCCTCTGTTTGCCTCCTAACCCTTAATTTGTCGTCTTCAGATGCCCATGACACTAATCTTGACCAAATGTGACAAGCGAAAGAAGAAAAAAAATGGAGGGAAAAGGCCTGAAGAAAACGTGAGTGCCTTTCAGGAGCTGATACGGATTATGCTTCTTCCAGACTCCGCCACCATGGATTATGACCAGCAATGTTACAAACCAAGGTCGAGATGAGATACTACTGCACATGGCTTAACTACGGAATTACTGGCTGCAACACTGAAAGGAAAGAGTGCTGAATCAAGCTTATGCATGTTGCCAATATAGTGAATTTTTTAACCTTTTATATATTTACATTAGCAACAATTTTTCTTGTAGCTGAAAGTGTTTAATATAAGTTATGGGCGTTTTATGCTATCTACGGTTTTGTAGGAATGCAATCAAAGCCCCAAAAGCTAGGCAGACCATCAGGATTTATGTAATTAAATATTGAAATCTACTCATGCTGGGGATGCCAAACAATATGAACCACACATGTTGAACTTGAATTGGAGAGGGAAAAAGAAAGAGGCATTGTTTAATCTGTACTATACAATAGTTATTGATCAAATTAAGGGATCACCCTGCTGCTTGAGTCAGCCATTCTCCAAACAAAAATAAAAGGCTTTTGTAGGAGGAGATAGAACAAGGGTCCCTAAAAAAAAAAGGAATCAAAACCGAATTAATTTTTTTTAATGGATTCGATTAAAAAAATTTTAAGGAAGAACAATAGGTATCACCTCTGTCTCATTCACAATGCCAGTTGAAGAAAAAATGGCAGAGCGAAGTGGAAGCCACAACAAAAGAATGAGAGACCTTTTTTATCTTATCAGCCCTGGCATCTTAGATGCTAATACCTCAAGATCATTGCTTTTATCTATACCTTTTTGGCATAATTTGGTTAGGCTAACACCATCCATATATATAGTCCATTTCTTATTCTTTCTCTTACCCCATATTCTTTCCAGGGTCTTATACAAAGTTCATGTCCCTCATTGTTCTTTCTTTTATCCTCATGGAAGTCCAATCAATTTTTAATGGCATTTGATGTTTTTCCTACGCCCTACAAAGTGAGCAAGAAAAAGGGGTCTATATCAATCCAACGAAATCAAAATTGTCACGTTTGTTTTTGTGGTTCGAACAGTTTCCATATGAATATGAAACTTCTTTAATCGATCCTCAAAGACAAAGGTAGAGCTGCACTTTTAGGTTCCAAAGTCTCCATCATTCCCCCTTTTCTTGCAATTTCATATTTGTAAGTTATATTACATTTATAATTTGGCCTTGGAAGCAGCTGTACCTCCACGGGTCTTTGTCCATGTCAAGAAGAAAGTTGTACATTGCCCTAATTCTTATTGCCTTTCCCGCACAATCTTTTTCAAATTTTCAGCTTTTACCTACACTCACCGCATGAGCAGCTTTATGGTAACCCTGATGGGAGAAATAGAATGCAAACCACCAATTCAGGTCATAATCGAAGCTTCCATCATTACTACCCCGGAGGAGAGCCGCAGCCTTCCGATCAACAATGTTGCAGAACCATCTCCATCTTCCATCTTAACGAGGCTCCATGCAGGGTATTTCAGGATAAGCCTTTCTTTCGGTGGCCAAGCTTTGCTATGGAAGATTCTGACAGAACCAAATGGTGTTCCACAGGATGCCTGGCATGTATTCCGCAAGCTCCCATCCACAGTTTGTCTGCTGCTATGGTGTCTCGCTGTTTTAACACAGATTTCACTGTCATCCGTTTACGTCCTTTGATGTTTGTTTCACTTTCACTTGGTGAAGGCAGAGTTCTCGCATCATATAGGAGTGAACTACCTCTATGCTCCTTGGATTTCATGGCTTATCCTGGCCCAATCTGCACCCATTGCTTTCCCAAATAGTATTTACTGCGTGGTTCTCTGTTGGATCTTTATCATTCCCTTGGCAATGCTTGATATCAAAATCTATGGACAGTGGTTTACGACAGAGAAACGGTTTCTATCAAAGATGGCAAATCCAACGAGCCAGATGTCGGTTATAGGGAACTTGGTAGCTGCTCGAGCTGCAGCAAGGATGGGGTGGAAAGAGAGTGCAGTTTGTATGTGGTCACTCGGTATGGTGCACTACTTAGTACTCTTTGTTACACTCTATCAGCGTTTATCAGGTGGCGACTGCTTTCCTCTGCTACTAAGGCCAACTTTTTTCCTGTTCTTTGCTGCACCGAGCATGGCGAGTTTAGCTTGGAACTCCATTACAGGAGCTTTTGACAACACATCCAAGATGCTGTTTTTCCTCTCTCTGTTCCTCTTCATGTCTCCGGTAAATTTAACTTCCGTTTGGTAATTGAAAATTAACTTATTCAAAGAAAATCTAAATTTTCCCCTTTTTTTTTTCCAGAAGGCATTTTCTTTAATTTTACAGCAAACCTGTGATATGGATCTTGATATTTCATCGTATTTGTAAATGCAACGATCTGGTATTTGATCCCAACGGTTAGCTGTAGTAGATTAATTTTGACAGTTTGAATATATTAATATAGTAATTGGTTGCTTGTTTTACAGGCTTGCAGGCCATCTCTTTTCAAGAAATCTATGCGGAAATTCAATGTTGCATGGTGGGCTTACTCCTTCCCATTAACCTTCCTTGCCCTGGCTGCTGCTGAATACGCACCACAGGTACAGGGTCATGCAGCAGCTATATTAATGCTTTTGTTATCAGTACTGTCACTTCTGGTTTTTCTCGGCTTAATGCTGCTCACAGCTGCCAACATCAACCGGCTGTTAGGTGAAACTGATCCCATGGATAGTTTCTCCAGTAATCTAAAATCAAGTACTTGAGCCAGAGAACCAAGTGGAAGATGAGGCGATAGTTGAATGCAACTAGAAACACACATCAATTAGAAGTTGACTTTCATGGTTTTTCTGAGCATAGTTTCTTTTGATAAGCACACCCAGCAATACCAATAAATCTATTACCAAACTGTTTGTTGGTTAACAAGTCCTTCCCAGGTCATGTAAGCTATTACCGGAAAAAACATCAGTACCAAAACTTTTCCAGCATTAGAACTCTTACAATGTTTTACAATATGTCAAGTCAAAATTCATCCATTATGCTTCAACATTTCAATTCTGCTTAAATCAAACACATCAAGCCCAAAACAGGACAAAGAGAAGCTAATATCTCTAACATTTTTTTTTTCCTTGAATCTTTTTCTGTCCACACTTTAAAATAATGCATGAATGACAACTAAACTGCAACCAACAAATCCATTACAAAACTCCTGAATAACTAAATTGAAAATTGATAGTGAAACTGAAAATCATTTTGCAAGAGGTGAGATCAGTTCCTTAGGTATTCTTCTTACTACCTGAACGTGACAATCGCTGGTCCAAAGATTGCAACTGATTCCTAAGGTTTTGGTTCTCCTCAAGCAATCGATCATACTCAAGAAGAAAACCTTCAGATTGTTTCCTTAAAGCAACTGCATTGGCTTCTGCAGCACTCATCTCTTTCGTCTTTGTCTCAAGATCAGACTCCAGCTGCTTAAATTTTGCCCGCAGAGCGGTTACTTCTTCCTCCAAGGCTTTAACTTCGTTTGAGCCACCAGGCTTTACATCCTCAAAGCCTCGACCTTGTTTCTTGACAGCCTCCATGTTCTTCCTTCGTAGTCGGAGTTCTCTGATATAATGGTGTACTCTGTCAATCATTAGTGCTAGGAATAGTGATGCCCCTGCAATAAGTTACCCCCAACATTAAAAACACAAGTCTAACAGACCAAAAGGAAGCAACAGCCCAAGGAAATTCAAGCTGAATTAAGAAGCCAGTACTAAAAAATCACAATTACAACTAATATAGGAAGTTCGGAGCCATAAAAATCAAGAGAGAAATAAAAAATGAACTCTTGTGCTTGAATATGCTGCCAGAGGCAAACAACCCAGTGTCACAAAGCAGTCTGTTTACATCAAGGCCAAGAACAGAGTCACATTTTCCAGCTGCACCATCTTTGAAGATTAACAATGAAATCAATTCTGGGAATATTTATGAATGCAGCATTAGAATTTAGAATCTGTTAAATAAAAAAGAGTACTGGCCAGCTTAGTTGTTAAACGACTACTGTGTTTAGAACAAGAACCTGAATTTTTTCAACTGGATAAGAGCAAGGACTACCCATTAATTAGAAATCTCATTCAATCTTCAGCCAACTGAGCCAAAAGGAAAGGAAACCAAAGATGCAACTGAATCAAAAATCACAACTTTATTTTCTTTTTCTGATGAAAAATCACAACTTTCTTCTCTTTTTAATGGCAAAACAGCAGGCATTCTAACAACGAAAATCAGACAACAAATATCAACAAGGATTCAGAATTTCCAATGGTAAGATAGAAGAAAGTAAGATCCCAACGAAAAATTCAGGGGAATTAACAATCAGCGGTCTAGATTTAGAAAGAATTGAAGAGAAGACTGAATTACCCATGAGAGTAGCTTCAAGAAGATGCTTGGCCATAAGAACCTGGTCCGTCGGATTAGCCGCTCCGTCATCGATCCAACGCTTCTGGATCTTCATCATGCTGTACACGCTTGACATCATCACCACGGAAACCGTTCCCGCCACCGTCTTAACCATCACAGGTCCTCGTCCCCGCTTGACCCGATCCAAAACCATTATCACCAGCTTCCTTAACGGTGTCTTGAACGATAATACAACAATCACCGCCATCTCTGAGAACACCACCAGGAACAATAACTGAATCATCTTTAAAATCTCTCTCCAAAGGAACACCCCCAAAGAAAGAAAAGTCAAAACTCAAAAGTCAAATGTTTTGTTCCTCCTTATTGGGGGGTGTAACTGAATATTCTGAATCTGCAGTGCACCGAATCAGTGAGAGATAGGGCGCTGAAGAAGAAGATGGAGAAAGGAAGAAAGAAAAGGACTGCGATTCCCGTCAACAACGTCGATTTTGATCCTGAAGTATTTTTTATTATTTCCAAAATGACCCCTTATCTTTGAGTTTATTCGATTTCTGTCGTACTTTTATTTCTTTTCCGAAATTTGGGACATCTTACTTTTTCATATTACCTGAAAGTCAGCCTTTTAGCTTTTTCTCTTTTTACAAAAAAAATAAATTAAATAAAAAAAGTAACTAAAAAAGGTTAAAAACAAATCCTTGAAGTCTAAGCAATCTCAAACTCAGACTCTCATTATTAGCTTGATTAAGATATGATACAAAATAATTATTAACTAATTAATTAATATTATTATTATGTAAACATATATATAATTTCAAAAACGAATATTCTAATTTAACTTCCGTTCCTTTTTCGTATTTATTTTATTTTTGAGAAATTTCAAATTTTCATACACCGAATGCTCTTACTTCTTTTTTTATATTAAAATTTTATTTTTATTATCTTTTTATATTTTTATATTAAAATTAATGATGATATTAAAAGGGATTAACCCATATACAATGATGAGACATAATGGTCAATCAATATTTCTTGCCGTGAACTTGTTAACATTTATGAAGTGAAATAAACAAACCTAACCCTAAACAAATTAAATAGGTGTGGTCCTAAGGTTTGATGGAGGAGGAAGGAGGTCATGTGCCCATATGGGAAGTGTCGTGTGTGATTGGAGAAAAGGAAAAGCACTACTTATTTTCTTTAACAAGGATCCATCCCATTAAGCAAGCATGGCTGAGTAGCCATGTCCATATCCTTGATGGGTGCTGCCAAACCAAAAGCCTGTATAACTGTGAGCAACCACATTACCTTTTCGGCCTTTGCAGGACCAATAGGTGTAGGTCAAGCTTAAATTATAAATCCTTCAAATCTATTTTCTATCCACTTGATATATGACATAATTTGATTATGTGATCATATCACCTACTATATTCAATGTAACATAAACAGAAAATATATATTAATATTAGATGTTACAGTCGTTATTTTTTATTAAAAATTGTACGAATAAGAATCAAATGATTAATGTTTGTTTAGGTATAATAAATGAATAAAAGTTTAATTACATAAATTAATATATTTTGGAAACTTCTTTAATACTTAAGTCCTAATGATATTATAGTTATCTTTAAGATAATTCAACGCCATCTATATTTTTTCAAACCTTTCTAAAAGACGATTCCATGATAAAATTCACACTCAAACTTTGTATCAAAACACATACCTTCTTTACAAAAAAAAAATCAGCTCTTTATGGATGTTATTAACTATAATAATGATGTTTAAAGATAACATTAAAAAATCTCAATGGTTAGGATTGGAGTTAAATTGTATTAGTGAAATGGAGTTGAATTCTTTAATGGGGGATAATGTGTTCACAAAGAGTCAAAGAATGGTAACTGATTAATTAACCCTTTTCTAAAATGTACCTTTACTCTTAATTCCTATATGTAATATGATCATATGAACGTGTTGATATGGTCTCGAAATGAGTACAAAAGGAAAGTGTCGGTCAGTTTAAGCAAGCTTATATGCATCTCAATAAAAATATGATAGGTGAGCAAATGGTCGATTTAGTTAATTCGGTTAAAATGTTTTTATAATTAAATTAATTTAATATAATCTAAAAATTAATCGAATATAAGTGTTGCTCGATTAAATGAATTAATTAATTAAATTATATCAGCTAGGTTCATTCAATTGGTAATTGAATTAATTTTTATTTGGATGAAAGTGGATTAATGATGAATACTGAAGTTCTACAAAATGGGAATTGTATATGGACAAAAATTTTTGTCATGTTAGAAGATTTATGTACAATAACATGTATAAGATCAGGCTAATTACTTAATTTCTGATTAGCATATCATTAAAATAGCTTGCTAGCAAATTCTTCTGTTGCTTCCCTGTTTCTTGTAGATGATGCTGCTAGATTCTTGAGCTCTGATGGGCTCCTTCCTAGCTGTAAAGCTACCTTCATTTCAAGAATTTCTCCATTTTCTCTTCTCTCAACTTCTCTCTCATCTGTGTTTGACATTATGCTCTCTTCAATGAGCTTGAAGAAGCCGGCATTGCTGCGGTACATCTCGAACACCATTCCCACTTGGCCGCCATGTTCCATTGAGTTCACTATGGTTGCCATTGCACCTGCTATGACTCCCATCATCACAGGCCATGGGGAAGGAGTACTTCCGATAAAGGAAGACCCCAAAGCCCCTAAAAGGGTTAACAAGGGACCAGAAATTGCCAAGACTTTGTTGAGTATTAGTGCTTTGTTACCCAACCTCATGTACTCAGCGAAGTCTTTCTTCTCCAAAACCCCAAGAACTTGACCCATTTCCTCCTCCAGCTTCCTGTTCCAGCCATTGTTTCCTTCTATTTTCCCACCAGGTCTTTGTTTTCGCTTTTGTTGCGGCCACCACCTTGCAGGTTCAACCTTTGAAGGGAATTTTTCAAGCATAGCACCTAGTAGAGGAAGTGGATATGCCTTATCGAGAGCTAAAACTTTGTCAATTGCTTCATTAACATCGTTAATATCTTGTGTGCCAAGAGATATCGTTGTTTGAATTTGACTATGAAGCTGCTTGAATAATCTAGAAGCATTTCTTTGTTCTTCAGCTAGCTGGGATGGTTGAATATTGTTCATCATTACCGACAAGCCCGTGGCTGCTACGTAAAGCACAGTGGAAGAGAGCTTGAGTGCCTCGAGGGGAGCCGTTGCTGCACTTGTGGCTGCTAGTCCAGCCATGGTGGCAGCAGTGAGAGTCATGGCATTGATGGAAGTCAAAAGGAGGTGATTCCAGTTGTCACGCTGCTCTCCAATGTTCTTATGCATCTCCACCCTATCCGCAACAGCCTCCATAACTGCATAAAGCTTGGTGATCACCTGAGGATCAGAAGATTTCATGTCAAGTCTCGAACAATGTTGGGTTTTCGGGCTAGAAACGGAATACCTTTCCAGGAGGGCAGTAGTATCAACTGTATAAGTACCGTTTCTCCTTTCCAAATCCTCAACCAAACCTCTGCAAGAAGGCATTGGGAGAGAGACAGGCCCCATGAGGACCCTTGGTGCATTACCACGACGACCATGCGACGAAGGCAAACTCTTTGAAAACAACGGGCTTGAAACTCCAACAGCTGCCATGGCAGTGTTGGATTTGGCTTCTCAATCTGAATGGTATACTGATCCGGCTTTCAGAGGAACGAAATTGAAGTTATATTTCACACTAGTTAGGTTGCATTTCATTGGGAGAAACAAAGGGCAGAAATAGTCTAATCCTTGAAACTTGAAAGTTTGAACAAGATCTCTTGGCTTAGAAATTAGACTGATGGGTATTGGCACCTGGGGCTTCCTTCTCTGACTTTCAACGGTAATAACGAGTAATAAAACTTGAAACAGACAACCGCCTCGGGACCAAAGTGTTTTGTTTTGGCTGTTGCATAAAAGGTCAGCATCTAAATCGGTCTAACTTCACAGAAAGTAATACTCCCAAAATGCCAAAACTGGTCCATGGTAGTATTATTTTTAATGGTAATTTAGTCAAATTATTCATGTGGTAAACTATAAATTAATTCTGTGTGTGGATTCAAGATATATTCTGGGATTTTAAAATTCTTAAAAAGAAAAAAAAATCTTTTCTGCAAGTATGTCAAATGTTTTTAATATCATTTCATTTATCTCTGGAATGTTCAATATATCACTGCACTATGATATCATTCTTCGGTTGGTGTGATTGAATCTTGACAAGCTCTCTCTGGTTGAAATTACCCTTCAATTTTTCTTGCATTCCCTTCATACATTTAATCAAGAAACCTAATTTGTCTATCAAATTCCTAGTCTACAAATAGCTATGGCCGACAAATTTTTGGTTGAAAGCTGACGCCTAAACGACCCCGTTTTGAGCAAGAGAAAAGTAGAAAAAGACAGGGAAGAGAATAGAAGGAGACATTGCTGATTCACATCTCTTGAATGCAAGGAAAGGAAATATTAGGCCATAACATCATCATCAAGCCATTTCAATAAATGATTCTGTGGCATGAAACTTAGATTCTGAAATGCTATGCTTAGCAAAGCACAGAAGTCAAGATCAAGCTAAATAACTAATCAAACTTTCCACCAAGATAGATGGTAATGAGATTTAACATTAATATTTATGAGTTCATAGTTGCAAAGAATAAGCTGCAAGTTACATAAAATGAGCTTATAATATGGATTGCAGAGCTAGCATTATTAATCATCCAAATGAATTGAAAGGTTTCCGATCATTCATTCACTCTTGGGCAACGCCATAGATCTTGCTCGTAGATTCAGAAATATTCCCCTGAAAAATGAATAGTGAAAGAATAAGAAGAAAAAATCACCTTGTTAGTAAATTTATACATATTTTCAGTGTGGAAGTAAAGAGGGAAGGAACCAAAGTTTTTACCAGCAAAATGCAATGAGGCTACTGAAAATAACACGGAACTGCAGCGGCACATATTGGTGGTTTATCCATCCCACAACCGGCCAGAACTGCAATTACATTCAGTTAGGTTCTAGGTCACGGGCTCATCTTTTCACATTAATAAACTATTATACTCAGAATGGGAATAAAGCAATACCGTCCACGCAGTCAACTGTACTTTGGGATACTCCTTTTTGATTCTAGTTTTCACATGCATCCAGGGTCTTCCTGCATTTCACATTTTCATTTAAACTACAAAGAAACAGCTGTTCCCTGTACTCAGAGAGGAGGCAACGAAACTAAATCATGTTCAATCCCTCTCTCTAAATCATACTTTCTAATCTTTTCTTGCATTAGATTATGGCTTCCTTTTTGGGCATGAATTTGCCACAAATCTGAAAACGGTCATCAAAATTAAAGGATTGTCCAGGGAAACAGTTTAGATATAGTCTCTTTGCCACCTAACATGTACATAATCTAACATCTGACTTACCCTCAACGACCACCCCATAGTAAATCATGAAAAGCAAGTTGTTACAAGGAGAAGATGTCAACTGTTCCAGCACCACCTGATAAATTTGATTCAGCATTAGACCCTTTGCTATGGATCTCAGCAAGAAGAATCGAGTTGATTGATTGAATTCAATAGGATTTCCAATTCAAATTTATTCGATAATTGGAGAAATGAGCCTGTAACACACCTTCTTGGCAACAGTTTTGGAATCATTCTTCCCCTTGAAAACTTTATCCAGTAATATATACGTGTAGTGTCCAAATGGCCCAAGATAAGCAAATCCAAAGAGCTGCATTCAGCTATGGCTGCGTTAGACGATTGCAAAAGCATATATGAAACTAGTCCTTCTGATGAACCCAAACATTCACAAAATTTTCCCTTCCTCTCATTTGCAACTCCTCTCGTTGCCACATAAATAAAGTCCCAATTACATTCTACTTTTACCCAAATTTCCTGAACAAATCTCTTTTACATATATCAGTGATTCCATTTCAATTCATTTAACCCAATGATCTGAAACAGAGCAATACGAAGGTGAACATGGTTTCCACCAATCAATTTGATAAAAAGAAAGAACCCCAGAATTAGAAAGACTGAATCAAGTAATCAACCACCTTCAATCCAAATAAAGAGAAGATCTTTTACCATTTTGAGAACAAGGCGTCTCAGCTGAAGTTTGGGTATTCCAGAAAGCTTCTGAGAAACAGTGTCACTAATCCCTGACAAAACCGCAGCCGTAATTGCCTGCAACAATTTCATTCCTCTTTTGAATCTATAAATCTCAAAATAAGCTCTTTCAGCATGCAACAAAAAGGGGAATACCTTGGTTCTCAAGGGGTGACTCTGAAGCTGTGACACGTACTTCTGCAATCCCTTCTTTGCTACCGAACCCATTTCTTCTTCCCTACTGCTGATTTCTTCGGAATTCGAATGCGTGTGTGTGTGTGTGAGCAGTCGCTGATATTTCCAAACCCAAAAGGGTCAGACAAAGCTAAAGTAATGATTGCTTGTGGGACGACGCTTTGGCAATGTCCCCCTCGTGGGCTGGTCGAGGTAGTTAGATGGGCGGCGATTGTCCGATCATTTTAGAGGGCAGAATTTGTTAGTCGTTAAATCGGGCGGTTCAGCATATTGCCTTAAGCATATTCGTTTTCCCATTTTGTCCCTCAGCGGGCTGGGTTGCTCCCCTTTTGTCTGTAAGCTCTTGGGCTGTTGGGGTTCGAGGTTCTTATGGTACGGCTGGGGCATTGTTGGAAAGACAAAAAGTCAACAAATTAGAAATTTTTTAATTATTAATTTAATCTCTAATTATGTTTTGTATTAATTGCCAAATCAAAGTTCACTTTTTCTAATCTTTTATAGCTTATGTCCACTCATTTACATGTGTTAGATTCACACGTGCAATCTCTAATTTTCACCGACTTTTTAAAATGAAAAGAGTCATTTAATCAATCAAAAGTTAAAGATAAAAATTTTTGAATTCGATATATTTTATATTAAAATTCAATTTTTTTATAAGTTTTTAACATAAAAAATAAAAAATTACATGTTTCAAGATGATATCTTGAGACATTTCAAAAAAAAAAAATAGCCAATGAAAACAAGACAAAAAGAGTATTATTTTGAATAGAGATTAAGACTTAGCAATTTATATATGATATAGCAACATGACATGAACACAATACGAGTTTAAGGGTTTGAGTTTAGGTTAATAATGTTTCGCATATTAATCGTCTCGACTTATTAAGATACAAATAAATTATGTCTTAACCATGTCAAACTTGTTTAACCCGTCTAAGACACGATTAATCAATCATATTAGTATGTAACTGTATAACTTGTAATTCATTTATTATCTATTTATTTAATCACGTTCACGTGTCATATAGACACGTTTAGTATATTGTTAAGAACCATTTATTTATTCATATAAATAGTAATAATTTTATGATTATTACAATTTATTGATATTAAATTTTATTATATTTGATAAATATTATAATATTTATAATTTTTTGTTGTAAATTTGCATAATATAATCATATTTTACTTGTACATATTTCAATGGAATCATTTTAATCAAATCAATCGTATAAATAGTGTAAACAGATCATAAATTATATAAATTTTAATCGTATTAATCATGTATTATTTTACAAAATTTACTCAACATGTTTAATAAATGTGTTAATCATGTTATGTCGTTTTATATGTTTATTAAACGTATTGTTTACGTACTTAATATCTTGACACGGTTAATTAATCGTGTCATGTTTGTATTTATTTGTATAATTATTAATATGTTATGTTAATACAACATAGTTAAGATACGGATATTCGAATTATCAAATCTAATAAAAATATATACTTATAAGAATAAAACACCTGTACTAAGATGTTATGATACACGTAAGTAATTATTCAAGTCATGTCATCGGTTATGTGATTTGGAATTAACAAAAGCAAAATATTTGTAGTTGGTACCATTATATAATAACGTTCCAAATTCCAACATAAGACAACATTTGGATGGTCCATTTATTTATTTGTTCATGGGAATATGAAAACTTTCACAAAAAGAAAAAGACCCAAAATCCCAAAGATACATATGCATATGGAAAGGTATAGACTGAGTTTTGTCAATGACTTGTGCTTTAGGTTTGAGATTGAATAAGCAAATTTATGAGCAAAGAAAAGAAATATACGCTTTCAAAATTGTAACATCTTGATCAAAGAGACAAAAAGGTCAAAAACATGTTTTCGTAGACCACAAAAAATATTGAAAATAAGACCTAAGATATCTAAATATATCCGAACAATGAGTCGAGAGATCGATCTCATGCTATACGTAAAAAGATTTAAAAGGAAATTATATACAAAATTAAAAAGAAATAAGGTAGAAAATATTATTGCAAGTCATCTGCATAACGTGAATTTTAGATATTAGGGTACTTCATGCTCTGATCTCAACCATAAAGTGTGTAAAGCAAAGGCAAAAGGAGGTTTTAATACCTTAATTGACCGCACTTGTGAGTGTAGGGAAGGAAAAAGCTTGGGACCGCAGCCTGTGATGCCAACCATTTGACCCCCTCTATTCAAGATATGGAGTTCTTACAGAAATGAGGAGATCTTTTACCACGTCTGATGCCAAGATCCGGAGCCCAAGCAGGAAACAACCTTTGCAATGGAAAATTATAAGAGCGAACAGGTCACCCTAAAGGCCTGGTCAATTCAACCAGTCAGTCAACATTTTCCCAAACGTGACCTGACCTGATCATATCCGTTGGCCTGTTGGTTCCTATAAATAAGACTCGAATCCCCTCCTCACCTTTCATCTACAAAATCTCACAACTTGCTTTCCTTTGCTCGAAAACCACACCTTAACTTCCTGATTTCCTCCAACCGACGCTTACATATTGACAAACAGAAGAGATCTTAAAGAAAGAACGCAGTCACATGGCTTCTTTACAGGCTTCTAACTATGTGCTGTCTTCTTCTTCAAAGCAAATCCATGCTGCTATATCGGTCCCTAAGCTTCCATCAATCCGGCTTTCAGTTCCAAAAGTACCAGCAACCAAAGTGTTGTCTGACGAATTGAATACTAGGGATGGGTTCATCAACACAATCCCAGTTGAGAAGAATGTCACTAGGACAACATTGGTTCAAGAAAGCTCGTCCGTTTCAATGGCTACTGTTCAGCTTTATGCTATCTTAGAGGCTGTTGCTGATAGAGTGGAGATGCACAGCAACATCGGCGAACAACGCGAAAACTGGAATACCCTTCTGCTTAATTCCATTAACATGATCACTCTCACTGCCGCAACCATGG